TCTTCCTCCTCCCCCCTCTCCATTTTTTTTTTTTCACTGCGGCTCTGTGTCTTTCCCGCGCCCTGAGGATCCGCCAGAGTCCCCCTCGCTGGTACCCGTAGTAGCGCCTAAGAGGCAGTTAGCATCTCTTCCTGCCCCTCCTCCTCCTCCTGTCCTGTGCTCTGCTCTCTCTATCTGCCTCTCTCTCTCTCCCGCTGTCTGTCAGTCTCTCTCGCCCCTGCTGACATAAACGATAAAAAAAAGAACCCTCCCTCCTTCCCTGGCTGCCTCTCCTCTTGTCGCTCGTTCTCTCTCCTGCTGCTGTTGCCTCTCACTCAGTACAGCCTGTGCCTCCTTCCAGAGCCCAGGCAGTGCCAACCATATGATATCACTCAGTTGCCTTATATGGGAAACGGTGGGTTACCATGACGACAGCAGACTCCACCTGTTTCTCCATCTCTGTTACTCTCTCTCTGTCTCTCTCTGTCTCTCTCTCTGTGTCTCGGTCCACCTTTCTCATCGGGTGATATATGGTGTGGTTGGGGTAAATAGACACAGCACATTAAAGAGCAAAAAGAGTGGGTGGGGAGGAAGGAGGAGCTGGGCGGGGTCGGGGGGGGCAGAAGAGACACTGGGGGAGACGTGATGGACAGGAGCTAACGGAGGTTTGCAGGGAAGAATAAGAAGTGATGAAAAGAAAGAGAGAGAGAGACTTAAAGGAGTAGTTCACAGTTTTGGGAAACACTCTTTGGTACCGAGAGCGAGGTGAGTTTGCTCGGTTCACACACCATATCGGCTGGAAAGTGGACTCATCAAGGCCTCGATGGGCCTTTCAAGTCCATCTTCCAAACAAGCCTGTGTTCAGCTGCACGCCGAACCGCCAACAAAATGGCAGCTCGCTAGCTAGATAGGTAGGTCATAATTCCAAAACTAAATGTAAAAAACGCAAACTTTTTTAAAATCAGGCAAGGTATTAGGCAAGGTACTTTTTCTAATATGTTTTGGCACTACCAGCTCCAAACATCAGGTTTCATGTCCAAAGCTGTGTTGGCTCTGTCCTGATGTGCCTACTAACACCTCTAAAGCTCATTAATTAACATGCTGTCTTTTTTTTAACATTACATCTTAAATAAATCAACATTGTCAAAAAAAAGAGCTGAGGCAGCATATAGTGAGAGGTAGGGCTGATTTGGGGTAGCTCAACAGCGCCGTACGCAGTATTACCGCCACTTTTGTTGCTTTTTCAAATTGCTTTGTAAGGGATTTAACGTTTCAGCACCTGCACCCTCCCTCCTCCTCCCTCCTCCTCCCTCCTGCGTCTGGACTACAGAAAAATTGCCAAGGAAATGGAGACAAATAACATTGAGATAACTGCAGCTATTTATGTTGCTGTAAGTTGATTTAACAGATATAATATCTCTGAAATGGGCGTATTTCTAAAACATAAAAACTATTCCCAGCCATGTCAAAGAAAAATTAAGCCAACAGGGCAGATGCATACGTTGTTGATGAGTTCAGGATAAATATCACTCCCACCCAGACAACAACTGCCAACACAGCGTCAGGATGAATGATGACAACAAAATGGCAAATTAATGAGATTATCAGTCTATCATCAGAGACTGAAGCTCTTCCTCATGACATCCACTATAGCTGGAGACATTACAGGAACACTTATTCCAATATGTAACTCAATAGAACATGTATAATGAACATGTTGGTATACGTACACGTTCATAGAGACCAGAAACTCATCAGGAAACTGTTTACTAAGCTCATAAATCAACTGAGAAGTCGACTTATTTCTACATAAGACTGAATGGTATCATTTTTATTGCAACCAATGGAGCTGCCCCATGCTGGCCGTTCCATAGAAAGCAAGTTTAAGACACTACACAGACCCAGAAGCCATTATATTATAACTACTATCAATGTGTTTCCCTTGCTTTCCTGCCTCAAGCCTTTATGCTAAGCTAGGCTAAACACACCCTGCCTCCAGCTCCACAGTGAACACACAGACGGGGGATGATCTACTCCTTTAAGGTAGACAGAGAAACGCTGAAGTGGGCTGTTCTGTGTTGACCATCTGTCACAGGTATCAAGTCAGAGCGCGTGGTGATTGATGGCAGAATGAAAGGGAGAACAAGGCGAGCAGGGAGACGGAGACGTAAGAGATGGAGAGGTGAGTTTAATACTTCACATTCTGACATTTTCTCATCGTCCCACTTAAACCCTTTTCTCCATATTCTATTGCTGACTCTTTCAGATGATAACCACTTAAAACGTGGCCATTACTGACCCAGCAAGCCGGTCATAAAAAAAAAGAAGCCTCCACTGTGTGTGCGTCTGAAGCCCCCAGAGGCACCTCGCCACATAATGCGCTTGTGTGGGTTTCCGAGCCCACCGATGTGCTGTTATTATCTCCCAGGAAGAAAATGTTCACGTGTGGAAACAGAAAGCACTCAGAGAGCTCATCCCTCCCCCAGGATGCACTCTCCTCTAGAGATGTTATTGGATAGAAATCTGCATTAAAATAAATACAGTGACTGAGAATATTGGAATATGTATTTCTAAGTTTTCAAATAATCCTTGATACTCACTTAACTTTAGTTTTCAATGTATCCTGCTAAAAATACGTATGTTTTAATTCAAATGTTTAGATTTGACATGACAAAAGTGAAAATTCCAGTTTTCGTCAACTACTTTTATGCAAATGTATTAAAAAAGACGTCACAATATCACATCGAGAACCAGGAACTCAAAAACATCACGACATTTAATTGCTGCATCCCACCTACGGATGCATTTGCATTCTTAAATGAATTAATTTGTCCCTCCTGATCCATGTGTGTAGGAGAGGACAAATCTCTTTTTATATTGCGGTATTGATATACACTGTCATATAACCACATAGAAATGTCTATTTTGGGCTAATTCGGCTAATTAAATACCTGACAAAAGCCCTATGAAATCAAACGGTGCCACAAACACAAGCAAGAATCACTACATAGATATAAACAGAATCTCTGATGGTTAAAAAAAACAATATATGGTATTTATTATATTGTCCTGTATTTGCTGAATTTTTGTGAAAGAAACTGCTTCGTAGGGCTGCCCCCCCAACAATCGACTAAACTGACGCAGAAAAAAATAACAATGTTAAACTCACCGGGATGAAAGTATCAGGGGATCTTGTAACACAATATCTATCCGGACTAGGAGCTCGAAGGACAGCGGAAGGTTTGTTTAGACTGCTAGCACAGGAGCTAGCACAGGAGAATAAGCAACAGAGTTCACAGCCTCCGAGAGCAAAAGAGGCTATGTGATTTACAGCGGCTCCGACCAGGACTCTGACTCCGGGGAGGACGGGGACTTTGTTAATTAACTTAGTATCTCAAAGTTATTATATTGAGATATGAAGTCTAATAAAGTTTGTCATTATAATGACTTTGAGAATCCTTTTTTCCCGTCACATTGGCAGTTCCATACGAAACAGTTGAGAAGTTAACGTAAATGTATTTGTTTTTGTGAAGTTGGAAGTTATTTATTCCGCATTTTGAACAACGAAACCTGTGTGACGTTGAAATAAATGAACGACACATTCAGAATCAGTACCATTACTAGTCGACTGTTGGCTTTAACTAACAACTACTACAAAAATCTTTATTTGGGGAGCAGCCCTACTGCTTTGTGCCTTGAATGATAGACAATAATATGAGAGATGAGAGAGTGCAGGAGAGTCCTGTTTGTCTGCAGGCCCTCAGGAGGATTCTCATCCAACCTCAGTCTATAGTCAGTGTGAGAGATGTTGCTTCTTATATTGAAGTATTTATTGACCACCACCGATACCAGAACCAAACATTAAAGCGTTCTTTGTCAGATAATTAGGTGCACTGTGCAGATACCTGCCGTCCAGCAGGGGCGGACCCCTGCGACATGCTGCCGGGGCTGTTGGAGTACTTGTTCTTCTGGAGATCCATGAGAGCATCTCGCTGGCGTTCGATGTCCGCCTTGTGGATGCTGTTCAGGGCCTCCAGGCTCTTGGCGGCCACGGAGTTATGCCGGCGGTCCAGCGAGGACGACGTGAACCCCCCGTTGGTGTTGTCGGGGAACCGCCGTGCCCCGCGGCCGCCGCCGGCAGCCAGGGTGTGGTAATCCCGCGGGAACTCGGCATCACCGGCAGAGATCATGGGACCCTTTCTCTTCTCTCGACCTGCAGCAGGGTGGGGGTGTAGGGACAGGGGGATGGGTTTAAAAAGATGAGAGAAGGGGGAGATAGAAAGTAAAGGAGTGAGACAAATAGAAATGTTTCTGGTGACGCCGTTAAATCATACGATGACACTCGTAAAAGGGTTTCTGAGGGTCTATAAATACTACCAACATGGTTCCAAAGATCAGAATAAAGGTTGAAGCCAGTGGTCTGTTATGGGATTAATATGCAGAGACTGGAATCAACACAGTGTTCATGTAGTTGTAGATGTAGATAAAAAGCATCCATACCACAGCGTCTGACCTTAATTAGACTGAACAGGCAACATTTAAACAGTAGATTTAGGTGCAGCATTGGTGGACGTGATGGTCGGCCAGTCAAGCCAAACAATTCAGATGAAATGAAATAACAACTAAAGAGAAAAGAAGTCATTATTTTGGGTGAAGGTGATCATTTGCAGCGGCTCCGAACAGGACTCTGACTTCGGGGAGGATGAAGACACAACGCGTTCAGGCAGATCCAAGAGAGGCACGAAACTATGGAAGCCCATTTCCGCCAATATGACAAGTCTTTATAGTGAGAAACTTTCTCAATATAATATATTAGTATGTCAAAATATTGACTAAGTATCCTCTGAAGAGGCTCAGAAAAATGGAAATCTCTATCCACTGATTAAGATCCTGTGAAGTGACTAAAAGCTCCAGAAGAGCTACTAATTGGACCTTTACTTCTGACTGTTTGTAAACTGCTGTTTACAGAATACATCTGAAGCTGAAGTTAGACAAAATAATCATTGCAGAAATCATTGAAATAAACAATGCTGTCATATAATGTGTAATATGACAATAATTTGCAGATTTCATGAAAATAATATTGTAAAACCAGGGAAATTTCTCTTGAAAAAAACAGTTAAAGGAGGATCAAACACGACAAAACATAATAACATGTTTAGAGGAGAAAAATGAAAATTAAATTTGAACCCTTTAAGATTGCATCCTCAGTTATGTTGTACCCCTATCAAACAACAATTTGTTTCTTTGTGTTTTTATATCAAATCCATCTTCAGTGTTTAGTGACACAGAGTGAAAATTATGCAGCAAATCCTTCTTCCTTGTTTGAAACCCATATTTCTGGTTCTTTTGGATTCTCAGATGTCGGAGCATTATTGATTGCACCTCCAGGAAGTGAAAACTGTTTCTGCTCACAGCTGCTGTACCTCACAACTATTTAACAACAAAAAGCCCACAAATTCACACAGATTTCGAGTCTCTGCAAGTTAATTTTAATTTCTTAGTGAATAAACAGAAGGGACGGCTGCCTGAAAGGTGGAAAATTAATCGAATAACAAATGAGAGGTTTATAAAGTCAAAAGATAAACAGACGTGTTGTAGTGCTTTCAATTGTCCATTACACGGTGAGTAAGTGAGAGCTTATTATCACAGCACACACTGCATTGTGTAATCACACAGTAGTTAATAGGGTAGACCTTGAGGGATGTCAGGGAAGCAGCGGTGAGAGTGTTAATGCGAGGACTAACAATGCTCCAACATCCATGTGCTCATTCTGTCCTTGAGCAACCTGCACAGTATATTCATGTCTGGAAGAAACACTCTCCTCCCTGTTAGTCTCTCCTCTCTCCCCAAACACAAAAACACACAGTCCTATTGTTCCACACACACACATATGAAAACACACCTCTAGCAATAGAGAGCCCTTGTGAAAACAGCTGCAACATCTGTCTATTCCAACAACTGCAACTGTCCTGGGAACCCTGAGGTAAAATAAAAGAAGAAACTGTCGCACAGCAACGTCTCCTGCTATTATCTGACAGCTTGACTGTCTCACATTTGAGTCAGAATCAGTGGAGGAGAAGTGACACAAATGGAAACGATGTCTTCCTGTACGGGGACAGATTTACTGCCCTCTTGTGACCAGTGACACATAAAGCACCGCTGACTGGGTGATCGGTTACACTTTACATAACAGTGGACACACAAGTTCATAAAGCTATCTGATAGTACCATAGTGTGTGTAGAGGATGTTAATTAGCAACAACCGTCCCAAGAAAGGCTTTTAAAGGCGACACTATACTCTGTCAAACACTGCGACAAATTCATACATATTCATTAAAAAATGTTGAGGATAACACAAAAAAGTGAGAAAATAACTTATAAACGTTATAAATAACCGATAACTCGATTACACAGCACTGAAAAACTGAGGTTGAAGTCTCATTTAAAGATGCTCTGTAAGATTTAAAGAATATATGTGATCTAATGAGGCCGTATTTAATTTATTGTGGACAAAACTTTTGACTTGTACTGTTTTATTATTACAGCCAACAATAGAAATGTAACATACATCAGGAGCAGACCAGTTAAGTAATGTGATGAATGATGTTTTTACTGGAAGGCAATTAGAAATATGGGGAATGGCAAATACAATTTTGATATGTTATATATTGTTATAAATCATATTTTATAATAATACACATAGTGTTTAGGAAAGTCAGTATTTTCCCCAATCCCCCGCAGTGACCCTCACTTTAAAATACCCCAGGCCATCCTGCCTCCCAGATAAAACCAGAAATGGAGCAAACTGGAATAAACCTTTAAAGTCAAATAGCAAATAACGTATGTAGTATCTCTAGAAATGATGCATCTTACAACACATACAGTACAAACTGTGTACAACAGGCTCCTTATTCTGGTTTCTGCAGGTTGTCTTTTATTTAGATTCAAACTATAAATTATATGTTTGGTCAGGCAGAGTCTCTATACATTATTGATCTGTGCTGTAAGGTCCTCGTATTTGCCTGCTGGGCAACAAAGGTGCACTGAAGCAAGTCTTTAAACTTCATTAGCCAGCAGTTAGGAAACTCTGTGACGCAGCTCGAAATTCAGCTACAGACTACAGCAAAAGTTACAGTATACATAATGTTTATGTATCAAAGCCAGCCCATGATATCAGCCCACTGGTTGATCTGTTACTGCCACCAACATATCGAATTATCTAGTGAGAAACCTGAATTATATGTCTGTAATATAGCACAATAGCTTTAAGAACAGTCATTTTCATTCATTCCTGAGAAGCTGAGCTGTTACTCCTCCAGGGATTCAGCCTGACAACAACAATATTTGTCTGTTTAGCGTCTAGAGGAAAGAGTTTGAGTCCCCGATGTAAGAATCTTCCAATAGGAGCGCGGCGGCGTGCCGGTGTGTATCCATGGTAGGAAGGAAAGAAAGGAGTGTTATAAAACAGAGGGAGAGACTGGGTAGAGACGGAGGGAACATCTCGACAAGAGCTTGTCACTTTAATTTATGTGAAGCCTTGAGCAAACCCCTACATGTGGGTGGGGGGAGTGAGGGGGTGGGTATGTATGTGGGACAAAGAGAGGCTATATTTTACCAAGAGAAGCACTGCTGGTCATCTGCTGCAATACCTGCTGGAATTTACTACGCGGGTCTTCTTAAAAACAACTGTGTTACAGTGATGATGCAGAACATCTGTCCTACATTTTAACTCATCCACAGCAAAACGACTGCTTTACATTCACAGAGTTACAGCTGGGAGCCGCCCAGTACAACCAGTGCTCACTCACCGCCTTATGACACCACGCTCCCTGCTCTATTATTACACAGACACTTTTTTTGGTCACAGATTTGTCTTCATTAAAAGGACAGGTGTGGAGGATTTAGTCGTGTTTAGTGGTGTGGTTGCAGATCGCAACTCCCTCCTCCGAGTTAGGGGGAGAAACTACGTTGGTTTTGATACACGTGAGAAATGCAAATTATCCCCGTGTAGAGCCAGTGTGTAGGGATACATTGATACCAGTATCAGCTATCAGGTCCAATAGTGAGCTCATGTAGTCGTAATTGTAATCAAAGTACTCTGATACTGCAGCGTGACGTTAGTGGAGCCGGCAGAGGAGAAGCCATTTCAGCAGCTTTCAAAGTTCAACATTTAATTAGTTAAAGTCAGAAAGTGAGGAATGTCTCAGGAAAATTAAGCATGAAGTCTTGTAAGGGTATAAATAAGTACTCATATTGGTATCGGCAACTACTCCAAAAAAGTAGTTAGTACTTAGTATTTGGTATCAGTGCATCTCTGTTCTGGGCTGCTGTAGAAACATGGCGGTTCAACATGGCGTGAAAACATGACAAAACATCTCATTCTAAGGTAATAAAAACACAACAATTCCTACATTCAGGTGTTAAACACTAATGAAAACATACCTCTGAACATTATATTCCATTTCTGACAATAGATCCTCCTCAATGTTACACTCTGGAGCTTTAAATCACTAACTAACATCAGCCTGATATGTTCTAATCAAAATGCTGATTATGAAAAGTCTCTTCATACAGTTTTTTCTATTGTCACGTTTGTCTAGTTTTAGATGCGTCTTTTATACATTATTGACGGTGTATTTGTTGGCAGCACTATATCTAACAGCTCCTTTATTTCCTAATAATTCTTCTATAATTTGGTACAACAAAGTTTAAAGTTCTGATTCATTTGAATAAAGGTTCAGAGTTTATAAGCAGTTGTTGGTTTCTGGACAGAATCGATTCACTAATTCAACTGAATTCACTTCATCAGTAATAACTTTACATTAAAGCTGCAGTAAGTCATTTTTATATTTTATTAAAAATTACTTTTTGTCATATATTACTGAAACTTTCACTAAATCCTGACAGTAGAACATGAGACAGATAATGTGTGAAACAATAAGCTAATACTATCAGCTAAAATCCACCGGACCCTAACAACAACAACCAATCAGAGCCGAGAAAGATAGTTGAGTGTTGAGTTTCATTCACAGGGGGTCAAATACCAATGAAATGACTCAACAATCGATTGTCTTCAAGCCCCCAACCCTAAGCACCTTCATATCTTTCTCGGCTCTGATTGGTAGTTTCCATTCGGAGCACCAGGAGGAGCCAGAGGAACCTGATTTTTTCACAGATTATCCGTCTCATGTTCTACGGTCAGGATGTAGTGAAAGTTTCAGCAAATATGAAAAAAAGTTATTTTTATAAAAATTACCTGCTGCAGCTTTAACTAAGGCTACATTCACACTGGAAGGCTTAATGCTGAATTCTGATTTATTGCTCAGACCTTTATTAGATTCCAGTGTGAACAGGTCACGGTCCAGAAAGTGACCCGCATG